CAGCTGAGCCACCTTAGAATAGTTACTTAACCTCTCTGAGCTTCGGCTTCCTCATTTATCACTGGAGGTAAGGACAGTACCTGTCTCACCCAGTCGTGAGGATTAAATGACTTAATACATGTGAAGCGCTCAAGACACATAGTAAACGTTCAACAAATTTCGGTATTGTAAGTGCCACACGTGACTGTTGGCAGAATAACTGGAATTAACACAAATACATACCTAGAACAGTGCCCGACAATTAGTACCTGCTTAAGGCACATGAGCCTATAGAACATTAACTGAGCTGTCTCCAGCCTGCTACCAACTCACACACTATCATTCCATCACATGGTAGCCTGGGGTGGCTTTAAAATATACCCACAAACTTTGACCTTCCTCCCTTTAAAAGGTGGAGCCTAATTCCCCGTCCCTTGAAATCACACCCTGCCAGTGCACCATCAGAAAGCAGATTCTCCAGCGCTGTCTTGCCTCTGCATGCACTGCAGCACTGGCTGACATTTTAACTGCAACCTTAGGATAGGCATTTCTTGTTGTTTCTAGACACTATGTTTTGGGGGGATTTGGTGTGCAGCAATGAGTGACTATTACACTCTCCAACCATAGGGCATGAGAGACCTTCTCTGACAGTTCACCTTCTCTGTGAGCCAGACTTCAGGCACAAGTTGTCTCAGTTCTTAGATCCCTAAACTCAAAGAGAGTTTGAGCTATTCACAAATTTTCCAATTTTGTCTCCTCTGGGCACCTAAACGATTGTTCTTGCTCACGCTTGTGAAGTTAGGAGTGGCCATGTGACTCAGCTGAGTCAATAAGCAGCTGTCATTTGTGAGTGAAAGCATTTAAGATGACTGTGAGATTCACCTTTTTCTCTCTGGAGGACTCCAGACCAGCCAACTATCATGGTATAAGTGAGAAAAAAAATATTGTTTTAAGTCGCTGAGATATTGGGGATGCCTATTACATCAGCATAACCCATTCCATACTGACTAATATGACATCTTTCACATCCCCTACCCCTCAGACTCAGGAAGCCCCATGTTCACATCCAAAGACATTGTTTTCTTTCCTACTTGCTTCCCTGTCTGATCTCATCCCCACAACTCCAAGAGTATCCTTTTTCCCTTCCATATTTAATAACAGCAAGTAGAAAAGATTGAGTAAACTATAGTCTTCAGTTCATAAAACTTAATTTTAAAATAGCCAGTAACCCGGTCTGAGGTTGAGGCTCAGTGGTAGAGCACTTGCCTAGTATGTGTGAGGCCCTGGGTTCAATCCTCAGCACCACATAAAAAAATAAATTAATTAAATTAAATAGCCAGTAACCAAAATTGTGCTGACTATTCTCACCTACACATTATATATTATTTAATCCTCAGAACAACCCTGCAATGTATGGATGATTACTCTCCCATTTCATGAGTGAAGCAAATGAGGCACAGAGGTTAGCTAGGGTGAGGTTACCCGGCTATGAAGGGAAAGAGCCAGGATTCAAACCCAAGCAATCTGACCCCAGCTGAACTGTAGCCACCACTGGCTCACATATAGTCCAGCTCTGATTTTATTTCTTACTTCCTCGTTCACCACCCCATGGCTCTGTTTTCCTTCCTGCCAGAAGCCACTCTTCTATCCGGTTTGCTGTGTGGCTTTTTGTTTGCAGGTGTTCTTTACACATTGTTTATTTTCGTTTCGAATGGATGCAGTTACTTCCTCTTGAATTTATGTCAACGGTACAGAGCTACAGGTGTCACTCTGGTTTGTGCTGGCTTTCATTCAGATCTGTTCCTGTGGCCAGGTGGACAATCTGGTCTGTCCCTGCTGGCTGCTGCCTTTGGAGCCCTCTGCCATGGCCCCCACCTGCTCAGTGCTGGACACCAGCTGCCCTAAGCAACGCTGTGGTGAACATCTTTGTGCCTGGAGGGAAATTGTGGAAACTCCTTCAGGTGCTTTTACCAAGGGGTAGAACCCTTGGGATGTGGAATTGGATGGTCCTTAATTGAAGTACGTCTCACCAAATTGCTCTTTAGCATGGCTGCAGCAGAGAAACCAAGCCAGTTCTGTGTCCTGATTCTTCCCATCTAAGACGGGAACCTAAAGGAGGGGGGTTTGGCAGTGAACTTGGTCTCCCATCCCCTTCCCACAGCTGCTTCTCAGGACCAATAACAGCCTCTTGACCAGCTGCCTGGAAGACAATGGTAAGAGGGGAAGAGAGAAAGAATGTGCACGTCAATCTTAAATGACTGTCCCCACTGCTTTAGCTAGTATTGTCACGGGCTAATGCTGGAAAGGGCAGGTGTCCACAGCTGCCAGCCAAGATCAGCTCCCTCAGGCGGGGAGAGGAGAGAATTTTACTCGGTGTGAGCGCCCCCTCATGGTATGATGGCTCCAATACACCCCGAGGATGTCCATTAACAACCAGCTAATTTAATCACATCTAATTCGAGTGGTATTGGGTACCTCTACATGCTGGGCCAGCAATGTCCAATCAAAATATAATGGAAGTTCTATATATAATTTAATCTATGTATTTTAATTTAATTCATTAGCCACGTTAGGAAGAGGAAATGAAAGACATGATTTTAATTATGAGAATGTATTCTAAATAATCCAATATATCCAAAATATTATCCTTTCAACTTATAACCAATATAAAAATGATGGACAAACTACTTTAATTTCCTTGCATCAAGAATTATGTTGTTGCTCTATCTATGTATTATTCTACCATCATCTATAACTAATTAGAACAAATTTTTAAAATTTTTTTTAAAAGTCCAAAAGCAAAACACACACACACACACACACACACACACACACAAAGAATTACAAATGTTTTCAAGACAACACATGTCAATTTGGACACCAAACTTTCATGAAAATATTTCGTCTATATTTAGATTTCCTAATATTTGCAGTTGAAGTAAACTCACACACTAGAGTGGTTCCATTATATTTAAAAGTTTCCCTGACTATAAGATCATTTTTTTTTCAATTTTAGGTCTAAATTAAATTAAGTAAAATTAAGAGTTCAGCTTGCCAGTCACCCCACATTCCCAGTTCTCAGTTGGCACAGGTGACTAGTGGCTACAATGTTGAAGAGCAGGACCATGGGCTCACACCACCTCACCTGGGAACAAGGTGGGATGTCCTGAAGGCCAGTTTACAGAGGGGAAACAGCTCAGAAAGGGAAACTGACTTTTCTTCTTCTTTCTCATTCATAAATATTTATTGAACACCTAGCATATGTACATTTCTTCTCATGATTGGGACATAACCGTAAGAAAGATAGACATAATTCCTGGTCTCAAGGAATGTGGGAGGGGAGGGGCGGGGCGGGGAGGGGAAGGGAGAGAGAGAGAGAGAGAGAGAGAGAGAGAGAGAGAGAGAGATTATAATTAGTGCTATGAACGAGCCAACAACATGATGAATTAGAGCAAGGGTTGCCCAACTATGGCTTGTGAGCTAAGGAAGGTTTTTACTTTTCTAATGGTTCAAAACAATCAAAAGAGAATAATATTTAGTGACATAAGAAAACCATGAAATTCTAAATTTCAGTGTTCACATATGAAGTTATAGAAACCCAGCCATGCTCACTGCGGCTGCTTGCCTTTTACAATATTGACAGAGAACATAGGAACCACCGTCTAAAATATTGGCAGTCCAGCTCCTCACAGAAAAACTGTGCCCAGCACACCTGCTCTACTGACGGTAATCTGAGGGCTTCTGGGAAGAGGTGACTTGACCCAAACGGTTAGAAGGCATCTGGGAAGTCTGAGTGTGGATGGATTAGTGCTGATATTACATTTCCTAAGTGTGGCAACCACTGTGATTTTTCTAGAAGGGCCTTGGTCCTTCTTATAAATTCTATAAAACCCAATTTATGGCACTTTATTATGGCAGCCGGAACTAAGACAATTCCCTTCCCCCCTCCTCCTTCTGCTCCCCCCCCCAAGATGATCTTAGTCTGACCATGGGCCAGCCAGGTGGGGCATTTCCAGCCACCAGCACAATGAGAAATAAATTCTGAATATGAGACCCAATCTATGGGACTTCCTTATGGCAGCCTGAACTAAGACAACGTCTCCCTCTCTCCTTCTCCTCCCCTCTCCTCCTCCTCCTCTCCCTCTTGCCCCCATCTCTCTCCCTCTCTCTCTCCCTCTCTCTCTCTCTATATATATATATGTATATATATATACACACTAATATTTAGTTTTTATTAATTTAATCTTTATTAAATGAATGCTTAACTATTATAGCAATAGGGATTAATTTCACCTTACTGAGTGTCTGTTTAAAATGATATTTAATGTCATTTAAGACATTAGAGAGAGGGAGAAATAGAAACAGCAAATGCAAAGTATTGACAGGCATATTTGATTGTTTATTATAGCATCCTTTCAACTTTTCTCTTGATTTGAAAATTTTCAAGATAAAATTTCAGGCTACACTTTCCTCACCAGTCCCCTCGGAGTGGCCTCACATCTAGAAGGTGCCACTCACTGGATTGGAGCCAGGAGCCCCCAGACCCCACCTCCGCTTATTGGCTTCCTGCCTGGAGTGCAGTTTGTCATTATTGCATTTTTAAATGTTTACCAGGCCAGACCTTTCTCTTCTCCCAGCCCTTCCCACCCCTGCTAGGCTAAACCCCAAGACTCAGCTTAGGTCAGTGAATCTCGGGCACCTAGCAAATAGTAGGTGTGCTGTTGACACTTGAGTGAATGAGACCTTCGTGTGGGTGAAAACACTGTCTGAGCTCTGCATCTGGTTCTTAGAACAGGGACTAGCACATAGTAGGTGTTCAACAAATATGTGTACACGGAATGAATGCACTTGAGAGAAATTACGAAGTTCCAGGAGAGCAGAGCAGAGAGTGTCTCCCTGGCTCCTAGAACCACATCCCGCACACAGTAGGTGCGCAGCCAGCTCCTGCCCCAATCGCCCCAGCGCCCTCCGGGGGGCCTCTGGGGCCTCGCCCCTCCCTGTGACGTCACAAAGGACCCGCCATGCCTCTGGCGCTGGCCCTGGTGCTGCTCTGCGGCCTGAGCGCCCGTGGAGGCTGGGGCTGCCTGCAGTGCGACCACTCGGTGCAGGACGCCCTGAGCCAGCTGCGCTCCGCGCTCATCCCCAGGCGCTTCCACCGGGAGCGGCTGCAGGCCCGCGCGCAGGCCCTGCTGCTGGGCATGGAGGGGCCTTTCTTCAGGGACTACTCGATGAACGCCTTTGTCGGGAAAGTGGGTGCGTGCGGGGCTGGAGGAGGAAGTCCGGCGGCCCTCAGCGGGGTGGCGAGGGAAGCCCCGGGATCGCTCCCCAAAAGCGGGAGGACCGGGCGGCCGGGAGCAAGGCGGGTGGGGGTCACTGGGCTCGGTAAGGAACCCTCTGGAATTTTCTCTCCTCTCCCGCCAGAGGTAAACCAACTGGAAGGCGTGGCGACCTTTATCAAGAACCAAACAGAGCACATAAAGGTCAACTCTCTGTCAGGTAGGAGCCTGGAAAGCCTTTCCCCAGCTCCTTCCTCGCCCTCCTCCATTTCCGCTAGAAAAACAAAAGCCACCCGTGTCTGCCCCCACTGAGTGTCTGGCGCCGGTGTAGGCGACCGTTCCTGCAGGTGGGAGCTGCCCTTTACACAGGAAGAAAGGCTGAGGCTCCTATGACATCAGACTTTCAAGTCCCCACTGCTGTGACAACTCCAGGTCACTTTGGCTCACTTTAACTAGTTCTAACTGGAACATGTTCTGACAGGTTTTATGGTTGGAGGGATTATCCTTATCTCCCTGAGTTCTGGGATCTGGTCTGCGCAAGGGTCACAAAAGTGACAACTTGTGTTCTGCTTATCATTGGCCTTTCGGGACTATATTTCTCCTGCAGATAACAGGTAGTTTGCTGAGGACTGTAACATGTCCTCTGCACTCAAACCAGGCAGGTTTGCAGGACAATTTTTTGTTTGTTTGTTTGTGGTGGTGCTGGGGATTGAACCCAGGGTCTTGTGCTTGCAAGCCGGGCACTCTACCAACTGAGCTATATCCCCAGCCCCAAGGTTGCAGGTAAATTGCTTTTTTAAAAAATCCATTTTTTAGTTGTAGATAGACATAATACCTTTATTTTATTTATTTATTTTCATGTGGTGCTGAGGATTAAACTCAGTGCCTCATACATGGGAGGCAAGTGCTCTTCCACTGAGCACAATCCCAGTTGAGTAAACACTCTACCAACTGAACTATATCCCCAGCTCCCTGGTAAATTGCTTTTAAAAGTGAAAGCATATGGGGTCAGCACAGTTAGCCCAGTTTATATAATTATTCTCTTAACCTAATGTTCCTACCACTCACAACTGTTTGTCCCCTATCACTAACCACCACCCCCCCCCCCCCGCAGATCCCCAGCCACTCCTAGAGAGCCCTTCACAGGGCCTGTAGACAAACCTCATTCTCTTTGCTTCACTTTATTGCACTTCCCAGATACTGCATTTTTTACAAACTGAAGATTCGTGGGGACCATGCAAGCAAGGGAGTCTGTTGGAGCCATTTTCTCAACAGCATATGCTCACTTCCCATCTGTGGGTCACATTTTGGTGATTCTTGCAGTGTCTCAAACTTTTTCATTGTTCTGTCTTTTTAAAAAAAGTTTTGTTTTAGTTCTAGGTGGACACAATAAACTTTATTTTATTTTTATGTGGTGCCGAGGATTGAACCAGTGCCTCACTCATGCTAGGTGAGCACTCTGCTACTGAGCCACAACTCCAGCCCCTGTTCTGTCTTTTATAGTGATCAGTGATTTTTGAAGTTACCATTGTAATTATTTGGGGCACCATGAGCTGCACCCATGAAAGATAGTATGATTGTAATTGGTAAAAGTGTGTGTGTGCATTCTGACTGCTCCACGGACCAGCTGTTCCCCTATCTCTCTCCCTCTCTTCAGAACTCCCAATTCCCTGAGACACAACAGTATTGAAATTATGCCAGTTAATAACCTTTCAAAGCCCTCTAAGTATTCAAGTGAAAGGAAGAGCCGATCTCATTTTAATCAAAAGCTAAAAATGATTAAGCTTAGTGAGGAAGGCAAGTTGAAAGCCAACAAGGCAATCAAAAGTTAGGCCTCTTTCACCAGTTAGCCAATTGCAAATGCAAAGGAAAAGTTCTTGGAGGAAATCAAAAGTGGTATTCCAGTCGGGCATGGTGGTGCATGCCTGTAATCCCAGCAGCTCAGGAGGCTGAGGCAGGAGGATCACAAGTTCAAAGCCAGCCTCAGCAACTTAGCAAGGCCCTAAGCAACTTAGTTAGACCCTGTCTCAAAGTAAAATATAAAAAAAGGGCTTGGCATGTAGCTCAGTGGTTAAGTATCCCTGAGTTCAATCCCTGGTACAAAAAAGGCCTACTCCAGTGAGCACGCGAATGAGAAGAAGGCACCACAGCCATGTTGCTGATATGGAGGAAGTCTTGGTGATCTGGATGGAAGATCAAACCAGCCACAACATTCCCTGAAACCAAAGACTAATCCAGAGAGAGAACCAAATTCGCTTCCATTCTGTGAAGGCTCACAGAGGTAAGGAAAGAGCAGAAGAAAAGTCGGAGGCTAGCAGAAGCTGGTTCATGAGGTTCAAGGAAAGAAGCCATCTCCATGTCAGCAAAGTGCTGCTGGAGAAGCTGCAGCAGGTTATCCAGAAGGTCCAGCTAGGATGGAAGAGAGGGGCGGCTGCACTCTCCAGTGGGTTACCAACACAGACGAAATGGCCCTATGTCAGAAGTCGATGAGTCTAGGACTTCCATAGCTAGAAGTCAATGCCTGCCTTCTAATCTTCAAATGATGAATCCACATTGGAACCAGTGTTCATTAACCATATCCAGAAATCTTTGGACCCTTAAGAATTTCATTAAATTTCTGCCGGTGCTCTATGAGGGGACAACAAAGCCTGAATGAGAGCACCTGTATTTACAGCGTGGTTTACTGAATATTTTAATCCCCTGTTGAGATCTACTGCTCAGAAGGAAAAACAAAAGATTCAAAATGTTATTAGAATCATGGTGCCTCTATCTACTAAGAGACCAGTGACTTGGGATTGAATTGAACAAGAATATCCAGAATTCAGTTTTAGACTTAGGAGTTTGAGATTCCTTAGATATCCTTGAGGGGGTCGTTGGATATATGAATCAGGACTTCAGTGAGAGTTCTAGACTGTTGTAAAATATGAGAGTTATTAGTGTACAGAACAGCTCTATCCCACTGAAACAGGATGTGATTCACAGTTGGAGTCACATCCTTAATCTGAAAATTTTAATAGTCACATTTTAATAAAAAGCAAATAAGTTAGTGAAATTAATTTTAATATGGTATTTAACCAAATATAAAAAATATTACCATTTCAACATGCGATCAATGCTTATATTTTTCATTACTGTGTCTTTGAAATCCAGTTTTATACCCAGAACACATTTCAGCCCAGATGAGCCCATCCAAGTGTGTGGCTAGTGGCTACCATACTGGACAATACTAGTCCAGGTAATACTAAAGCCATTGGCTGGATTGGACTGAAATCAGAAAGGAATTGGCATAGAGACAGAAAAGATTAGGGCAGAGGATATCAAGTCCACTTACAAGATAAAGAAACTGAGGCCAAGAAAGTGTGGTTTGGAGCAGGCCCCCACAGTGGATCAGAAGCTAGATGCAGTATCAGCCAGGCCTTACACAGGTTGAACATCCCTTATCCAAACTATCAGAGACCAGAGGTGTTTCAGGCTTCAGAATTTATCAGATTTGGATTGTTTTTACAGACTACCAGTTAAGCATCCACAGTCTGAAACTCTGAAATCCAGAATGCACCCCCAGCTTTTGGATTTGGGAGCATTTCAGATTTTCAGATTAAGGGTGGTCCAACCTGTATCTTCCCAAGGAACCCTGGTCTTGGTTACTATTGGTAAATGGAGAGGAACTTCCTCATCCTTACTATTGGGAGCTGCTGGATTGGGTTTGCTGGATACTCCACCCCACAAAGGTGTCTTTCTGTTCTCAGATGGGCCTCTGCTGGAAGAACTGGTGGACTTTAGGGAGAGAGTGACCAAGGAACTCAAGAAGGTTTTGAAATCCTATGAATCAAAAGGTGCAATATGCTCTCTCTACCAAATCCCCTCCTCCCTTTCCCCATTGAATCCCTTCTCCTATTTTTTCTTCCAAACTTCTTCCTCTCCTCCCCCGCAACTCAGCCTTCATCTCTCCTCAATAGTCTTTTTCTCTCCTTGCCTAGATTCACCTTTCCCTCCCTTTTCTGGTTCCTTCCCAATTAAATCCCCAAAGTGCTGGCCCAAGTAAACTCACTTCCCGCTCTTTTCTCTTGCAGCCTGTGATCGAAAAACGTGCCGTGAGTCCGGGTTTATTGTCTACTCCTCCCTTCTCTACTTTCCCATAGTTTTTACACTGTTCTTCCCCCATATCAAGTCCTGGTACCACACATACTCCACTGGGCAATTCCCCTGCCCCAAGCATAGTACTTAGGAAAACTTGGTTTGGGGGCACTTATAAAGTGGTTGCAACCTGCAAAAAAGTATTTTGGGAGTCACATCAGTATAGGATAGGATACTGAATCAACAAATAAGCCCCTAGATGTAAGTGGGGGCTTATAAGGATCTGTTTCTCTCTGATCTAAATTCCACTGAGAGGCAGCTCTTCTAAGTGGTAACATCGGGAGTCACCACTTACAGTACCTTCCCCATACTGTACCTTCCAAACGTGATTCAGAAGACAATAGTGATCACACCGGATGTTTTCTTTTCAGGCTAGGAAATGATACACACTACTCTGTTCATTTTCATTGGCTAGAATTGTATCACATGATTGCAACCTGATGCAGGGGAGCCTGGGAAATGTAGTTTTCCTGTGTCCACAGTTAGAGGAAAAGACAGATGAATGCTCATCACCCTGTCTATGCCCCTGGGGTTCTAAAATAGGAAAAAATTCAAATTCAAAGTTAACAAATGTTTAATTGAATCTTTACAAATGGAATGTTGGATCAACTGGACTAATGCAACTCAATTTAACTCTTCAATAATTATACAAAGGTTATTTTTTAAGTGAACTGTCAGTGCATTTTGCTCAACTTACTTTGCAGTGCAGTGGGTCCTCCGAAATTAAGGAGGACCAAGAGACCCCCCCCTCACTTCTTCATTATTCCTTCCTGCCCCTTGCCAGTTCTCTGGACACAACCTCATCCTACTACTTCCCCTTCCTCCTGTTTAGGCTTACTCAAAGAAGAGGTCTGGGACTGTTTAAAATGCCAGAAAATCAATCCCGCATGTATCAATGAAAAGTTCTGCTTTGGTAAGATTCTGGGTTAAAGAGACATGGGACAGTGCATGAGATGGAGGCAGTGCATATGCGTTTTGAGACTTACCCATGCAGCCTTGAGCTCTGCCCTTACCATCTGCATACGGTGTTGCCTAGGGGTTGCCTCCTCATTCTGAAACTCAGTATGTCTCTTCTGTTGAATGTGAACAATCCTCTGGAACTTTAAAATGTCCCAACACCAGAGTGGCAGGTGCTAGAAAAATAGCTTTTTCTTACCTTTGCCATTTTTAGAAGTCCAAAAAGATGTGCCAAATTGATTCATTTGTTCAGAAATCTCTATATCTCCTTATAGCAGAGGGAATAGTAGAATGAATCCATGTCCATCCTTCAGGATTGAATAGCCATGCTGGATCATTGCACATGCTGTTCCTTTTCTGTCACACTGCTCCCCCCACACACACACTTCATAGAGGTCTCAAAGGCCTTTCTCCAGAAAATCCTCTCTGATCACAGTCCCTAAAGTGGTACTTTCCATGAAATTATGTTCACAATTATTATTATTATTCCACACTTTCTTCACCTATTTTATTCTTTGCCATAGTACTTTAAAAGAAACCACATACATTCATGGTGTCAGCCTCTAAAAATAAGGATTTTCTTGTTTTGCAGTAGTTGGAAATGACCTCTGGGGCACTCAACCACTGAACTACATTGCCAGCTCTTTTTATTTTGTTTTGAGGTGGTCTCACTAAGTTGCTAAGACTGGCCTAGAACTTGTGATCCTCCTGCCTCAGCCCACTGAGTAGCTGGAATTACAGGCATATGCCACCATACTTGGCTCCAGGACATTTCCTTACACAATCACAATGCTGTTGCCACACCCAACAAACCTAACAGTGATCCCTCAATAGCAAATAATTTCTAAGTCCCTCTATCAGCTTCTCTGAATATTTTTCACACCTGCTGTTCAAATCAGGATTCAACAAAAGGACTTCCCATATCATTCAATTGTTCGGTTTTTCACTTTGCTTTTAATCCAGAAATGTCTCCTTTTATTTTTTCCTCGGTGACATGGGGAGTTGACATGTTCTATTGACTGTCCCATTTCCACATATGTCTGCTTCCTTTCTATGAAGTTTAACAACAAATATTTTGAGCACCCTGTAATGCCCCGAACTGTGGATCATTGAAGTGGGAGACTGAAGGAGTTCCCGCCCTCGAGGAGCCTGAGTTGTGTGTCGGAGGATATTTACTCTCCTCCCTAGCCTAGTCCTCCCTAGTCTGGTCCTCCAGACACCAGCCAGGATGATCAGAAATCTCTCTACACATTTCAAAATTGTCCCTGGTTGAGAACTACAGTTACATGATAATTACTTGAACAAATAAATGGACTAATTAAAGACAGCAAAAGGCATTCTAATGAAAACAGAACTGAACGACTTGATGGAAAGAGTCTGGAAGAGGGAGCCTAGTCACTAAAAGAGTGCAGACTCAGGGGCCTCTGTGAAGAGGTCTGAGCTTTGAGATCTAAGAAAATGAGTGAGGGGAACAGTAAGAATGTCGAAGGGAATAGCGTGCAGAGATCCAGCAAGATTAAACCACAGGGAAGGTGAGCTGGCGTGGCCAGCGCTGAGTGCGTGAAGAGAGAGCAAGTGGGTTAAGGAGAGAAGTGGGCAGCCAGAATCCGGGACAAGTCACTTGGGAGCCCAGGTGGGTCCTGGTGGGCTGTGGGTGAGGGCTTGGACTTCTACTCCAATGGGAGCCTCCGCTGCAGGACTCGGCTCAGGAGGGACCGGAGGTGGTGTGTTGACTGCGCCCTCTGGAGGCCATGTGAGGAAATGTGGGGAAGGTGCAGGGAATCTCGTGAGTGAAAAGCACGGGTCGGGGCTAGACCAGTTTGGTAGCTATAGAGGTGGATTGGATTCTGAAGGCCAAGTCAAGAGGTTTTGCTGCTAGAAAAGTCGGGGCGGAAAGAGAGTGGAAGGTGCAGAATTCACCTCCCAAGGCCACCTTCGGGGTTCACAGCTAAGACGCAGGCGGCCTCAGCTTGGGAGATTGCGGGCATTCTGCCCCCCTTCCCTTGCGCATGGTGTTTCTTTCTCTTAAATTTAAATTGAACTCCCCAAGTCCTACTTGCTGCCTTCCACCCCCACCCCATCCAGAGGCTCTCACTGTCATGGTGGCAGACCTTCAGGTCCAGGAGGGCGAGGACGCTTGTCCGCTTGGTTCCAGGATGGATCCCGAGTGCCCAGAATGGTGCCTGAGACGCCGCCCTGGAGGAATGGATAGGTGGAGGGTCAGAAGGCAGGAAAGGGCAGGGACCCCGTGGGGAGGACAGGCAAGCCCCACCCTGCCCTCCCAGGTGGCCGAGTGAACGCATGTGGAGGTGGGTGCAAGGCTAAAGAAAAGTGGTAACTTGGAGCTTGGGTCTGTCTCTGCCACCCGCCCCAGTGGACGGGCAGCCCCGCATGTCCCTGCAGTACCAGACGGATGATGACTACTTGAAGAACCAGGCTCTGCTGGGCATCATCGTGTCCGTGATTCTGGCTATCTTTCTCTTCGTGGTCATCCTGATCGCGTGAGTCATCCCTGCACCCTGCTAAGTCCCCGAGTGCCTCACTGGGCCCCTCAAAATGCCCTCACTGTGTGTTTTGGGAGTCTCCTCCCTGATCCCTTCCTGCCTCTTGCTCTCATGTTTCTCCCCTCCCTTCTTTTTTCTTCCCTCTTCTCCTCCCTCTTCATCTGTGAGTCTCTTTCTCTCCTATCTCTTCTTTCCCCCACCCCAGAGTCATACAAGACATACAAGAGTTTTCAGAAATTTTCCATTTGTGAGCCCCTTATTCTATTAAAAAATACTTGGAATTATATTTGGTAAACGTGTTGGCATAAAAACAATTATCATCCAAGTTGGCTTCATTCTTATGCATTCTTCACCATCATCGTCATTATTGTTCTATTCATTTATTTCCTTCTTGCTTGGGGAGAAAGTAAAATGAAAACATTTCCATGAGCCCCAGGCACAGCGCCTAGGAGAGAGGTGGACCTCACTCTCCTCTCTCCTCCTGTAAGGGTTTCTCTGGGCTTCTGTCTGCTTGTGCCCCCTCAGCCCCTTTCCCAGCCTCTCTCCTCTTCTCTCCATCTGGATTTCTGTCCTTCTCTTTCCCTCTGTGTCTTCTCCTACTGCCCCACGAGTCTCCTTTCCTGAACACATCAGTTTCTCCATATTCAAAATGGGAATCATTGGCCTTGGCCCCTCTCAGGGGTAGTGATGAGCGATGAATCAGGAACTGCTCTTGGGGCTGAGGCTGTGGCTCAGTGGTAGCACGCTTGTCTGGAATGTGTGAGGCACTGGGTTCGATCCTCAGCACCACGTATGAATAAATAAAGGAACTGCTCTTCACAGCAGTTGGCTTGATGGGTCTCTGCTCTTACTGTGAGCTGGCTCTGTCTTGTCTTCCATCTCTGACTCTCCATTTCTCTTTCTCCCTGTGTATTAGTTTCCTAGGGCTGCTGCAACCAATGACCATACCTAAGTGTCTTAAAACAACAGAAATTTGTTCTCCGAATTCTGGAGGCCAAGAATCTGAGGTCAAGGCTTCCAGGGTTGGTTCTTCCTTGAGGTTCCAAGGGAGGATACCTATCTCCTAGCTGCTGGTGGCATTCCTTAGCCCATGGCCTCTCCCCCCAGTCTCTGATCCTGCATTCATGATTCCTCTGTGTGTGTGCCTCAGGGCTCCCTCTCCTTTCATATAAGAACACCAGTCTCTGAATCTAGGGCCCGGCCTTTGTCCAAGATGATCTCATTTCAATTTAATTATCCTATTTCCAAATAAGGTCACGTTCACAAGTACTGGGAGTTGAGTCTTGGATTTATATTTTTAGAAGTAGGACACGGTTTAACCCATTACATTCTGGTTTTGTCTTTTCATGTCTCTCCATTTCTGCCTTTTCTTATCTCTTGGTCTTTTCCCACATTCTGCCATAACTCCAACTTTTCCATTCCAACTTTCTCTCCTTCCTCAAGTACCATCATGAATTGACTGGAAATCTTCCCCAAAACCCATGCTGTCACTGGCTTGGCCAAATCGGACCAGTGACTAGGGGGAACCTTGGGGGAGGTAATTTGCCTTGGAGGGATCCTGAAATTCTCTTTCTAACCTCCAGAATTTCTCTCTCTTAACCAGGGGTTGTACATACAGGAAAAACCGAAAACTCCTCTTGCAATAGGATGATGCTTTGGGGTTCATAAAGGGAAAGGAAACAAGTTTAATAAAACCTATGACAAATTCTTCATGTGTTTGACAGTTTCCTGGACACCCTCCTACCAATTGGTGACCAACTGTTTTTATAATGGTTATGTGTTCCTTGAAGGTTGAGATTAGATCTTGTTCATCGAGAGCCACCAATTATCCTAATTCAAGGCCAAAGTGATTTGGACCTTCAAAGGGGATAGACAACCTTTTGTGAGGTTTGAAGGGACAACTCTCTTCTTTGGGGGAGAAAATGCACCCTAAAGAAGATGATGTGGTCGGACCCTCAAGTGTGGTTAAATAAAAGAGCAATGATCAAGGGAAGAGTCCAAGTTTCCTTCTCTATCTTAAACCTAGTTTTTTACCCTCTGTGTACCGGAAAAGATTCTAATACATTTTCAAGTAAGTGGAACTCTTGCTACTCCATAAACCATGGAATCCCTTCTATTTCTTAATCTGCCATCAGAACAATCATTATCTAATTCAGGGTTCAGATAATGAGGGATTTATGAGGAAATGGTCACGGATAGACAAAAAAAGCTGATTGGCTGAAGATTTAGTGCCTAACACAGTGCCTGGCTTGGACCTCGTGCCCAGTAAATTTTGAATAAATGAGTGTGTGTGTGCATGTGTGTGTGTGCGTGTGCATGCGCGTGTGTGTGTGGTATAAAAGTCCACAAAGACATTTTGATCCATAAACTAAGACTTACTTTAAATGCCAAGAAAAGGAATTTGGTGGGTTTTCCCAGGATCTGGGATTGAGACCTTAAATAATTTATGGGTCCAGATAGGTAAAGTAACTGCAAATCCCAATTCATAGTGATGAAATTTTCTATCTCAGAATGAAATAGAATTTTCTACTCAGCTCCATCTTACTGTGGTCATGGAGAAACAGCCCCAGTGTTTTCAGATCTTAAGATTTTTCAAGAGAACACATATTCAGATTTGTACATTAAATTTCTCCATCACTAGTGTTGGCACTCTCCACAACTGTATTTCAAGTATTGCAGATAAACCAAAACATGTCTTTTACTTCTGTGAGATGACCGGAAATTTTGAGGGGTTGTAGATTGTATGTTAGGGTTTTCCAGCTTTGTTGAGCGTCGTTAGACTCCCTAATTAACTACATTTCCCAGAATGCTCTTCTCCTGAGAAAGCGTCTGTCGCCATAGATACTGTCACCTAGTCAGGTTAAACGCAGGAGGTGGGGGCGGTATATGAAAGGCGGAAACTTGACTTCCTGGTTCAAGGGCGCCCGTTGCCAAGATACCAATTTTTCTACCTGCGCAGTTGAGCGCCTTTGGAATGGAGCGGGCAAGCTCACCCTCTGCGACCCCTTCCTTTCTGTGGCACCGAAAAAATCCCGAGGGAAGGCCGGCAGGTGGCGCAGGCCGGTAATCCCAGCGGTTTGGGAGGCTGAGGCAGAAGGATTGCAAGTTCAAAGCCAGCCTCTGCCAAAGTGAGACAGTAAGCAACTCAGTGAGACTCTGTCTCTAGATAAAACACAAAACAGGGCTGGGGAGGTGGCTCAGTGGTCCAGTGCCTGGCCCCTGAGTTCAATCCCCAGTACCCCCCCCCCCAAAAAAAAAAAAAAAATCCCGAGGGAACCAATGTCTGGGCTTTTTCTTGCTACCCTCTGCCGGGCACTACTAGGCTGGTCGCCATGGCGACGCCCCCTGCCCAGCGCGTTTGAAGTCATGGTCCAGGGTCGTGGCCACTGCAGGCTTGTTTGAGATGCTTGACTTCATCTTGGCTCCTCCTCCTCCTCCTCCTTCCTCTTCTTATCCTTCTTTTTAAGTTGTTGATAGACCTTTATTTTATTTATATGCAGTGCTGAGAATCGAACCAGTGCCTCACACATGGCAGCCAGACCTCATCCCATTTGGGAAAAGCCCAAGCTTGAAGGTTTCAAACTAGTGCTTTTTGTTTGGGTAGCAGCCAGCAATGTTGTGAGGGTTTTTTGTTTGTTAATATCTTCCCGATACAGGTCCAGAGGCTCCCTTCACTTCGTGGGATTTTCCTAGAAGTGCAGGGTACAGGGATAATTAAATTGTGCATAAATTATAGTGTGATGAGAGCTACCGGTGAGCGCAGTCTGGGATGAGGGAGACAGACAGTTACTAAAGAATTACAACACAGCAATTATTACAATGCCAGCGCTGGGATACTGGGGTGTACCTGTGGGAACCCCAGGAGGGAGTTGCCAACCTCAGCTGGCCTGGGTGGGAATGACAACAAGCTAACTACAGGAGAGGCTGTAAGAACTTGTTCTTGCAAGCAAGGTGGGGGTTTTCCACTACAAGAAGTAGAGGAGGAAGGACAGCAAAGTCACACCGTGGGAACTATTAAAAACTTGTTTTTAAATAGCAAACACTTCTGTGGTGTTTTCTGTTACATGCTGTTCAAATGGCTTTATATTCGAATTTCATAAGCTGATAAGGGTATTTATTGTCTCCCCACCCATCATGAAGATACTAAAGCATATGGGCAGGTTGTATTGCTGTTTCATAGATTCCCTGATGTTGGAATCAAAGGTTATTTTCAACTGTATGTCCTATTTAGTTTTATTACCATTTCAATGTAATCTTCAGCTTTTATTAATATTGGATAATGCTATGATGAACATATGTGGACTATGGCCAGTCAACTTCTTTGTGATTGTTTTCATAAGATAGGTTTCCAAGCTGTCACAACCAAGACCTAAGGATTTCCAAATCCTGCCCTACTGGGCACATTGGAAAACAAATTCCAATTTTATAATTAATCAGCGATCCCTCAGGGATGCTGCAGAGGTCTCTGGTGAAGTCCTCTTGGCTCAGCCTAGAGGAGCCCTGACTCAACCCGTTGATTGGACAGCAAGGGCAAGAATGAGTCCCTGTTAATGAAGTGACCCTGACCCCTCTTCACATGTCCCAGCCAAGGTCTTGGCTATGACAGAGTAATATCCACTCTTCTCAGGGAAAGAAAAAAAGTCATCAGCCAAGATGCTGCAGCAGGTGGACATACAGCAGAGCCAGTGCATCTCTTCTTCTCTACCATTTTATTTTAGATAGAGTGTTGCTGTGTTGCCCAGGCTGGCCCCAAACTCCTGGGCTCAAACCATCCTCCTGCCTCAGCCTCATACAGTCACATACCGCCTCGTGTGGCTGCTTCTCTACCTTCTTTAATGGCCTTCTATCCTTATTGCACAAGATTTTCTGGGAGACTATAAAGTTAACAACTTGCACAGTGAAATTAGACAAACTCAGTTTTCTGGTCTTGCTGAATACGTAATCTCTCTGAGTTTTGAAATTTTCTAATCTTATTTTTAAAAAAGAGACAGGCGACAGACAAGAAAAGGTACCAGGATTTTTTTTTTCTCTTTAGCTGTAACATTTCTCCCAGTTAGAAGTGGTTTAAGCCAGGAGTCATTAAACTTTTCTGTGAAGGGCCAGATAGATGTATTAGGCTTTCCAAGTCATTGATTGAACTCTGTCATTAGAGCACCTGAAAGCAGCTGTAGACAGTTATGAATAAATGAATGGGCATGCCTGCATCCCAATAAAACTTTATTTATGAGCAAATAACTGAGATACAGTTTCTGCAAAACACCTCACCCTCTCCCCCTGCTGTGCCCCAGAATCGGTGGCTCCAAACGAAAATGAGATTCAGATTTAAACAGTGAAAAAAGGTTTTATTCTTTGTGCATGAAATTTGGGGGCATAGATTCATCCTCTTTTACACGTGGTTTGACACTTGACTGTATTTTAGTCAAGATGGCTCTAGCTACTATAACAAACAAACTTCCAAAATATATACTAGACCAGAGTTCATAAAAGTTGATTTCTTATGTAAGGCATATTGTTGAACCACAATGCAAAGAAACAACCACCGACTCCAATTTTAAATCAAATTAAAGCAAACTTGTGTTGTGTACACAAAAGGTGGCCAGCAACTGTCTCTCCCAAAGCAAGGCTAGAGATCAGCCCAGCTCTTGGAAGAAAAGGTTTATATAGCACAAGAAGTTACAAAGCGGGGGTGTCTTGGGAACTTACAGCTAACAGGGTTCTGGCAAGCATAATACAAGGGCAGATGGCAGATTAATGATCTATATGCATGATACTTCAAGGTAAGGAGTAAATTCAGATCCCAACATCAGAATTTATGAGATGCTGCTGAGGTTTCAGAGAGAATTGTTATCTTGTCAAGGAAAGCCAGGCATGGGTGAGTTCAGCACACGGGCGGGAATTCCAAACAAGTTTAGAAATCTCAGTAATTTATAGAAAAACAGAAATTAACTTTTTCATGACTTTGTGATGATATGGCTCCTAATCTTAAAACGGAATTAGGCTGAGTTCACCTATACTTGGTGCTTCTGAGTGAATGTAGCTTTCCTTAAAGTGACAGTTCAGGGTCGTAGGCTACTTCCATCTCAACTTGTAACTTCCAGCGTCACAGTGTTCATCATAAGAAGGGGAAAGACTGAGGAAGGTGGCAAAGAAAGGTCTCAGTGGTCAAGGAGCGGGGGTCGCAAAGGTTTCTGGGAAATGTAGTCGAGTAGCGAGGCCTACGTCCAAGCTGCGCAGGCGCATTCGCGAACACGCCTCTGCGCCCAGGTGACTCGGCACCTGGCAGGGCAGACCCAGGGCAGGAGAGCGTGGGCCGTGCTAGGTAGGCGGGCAGGTGGTCAGCCCCAGGGCCCAATCGGCTGTGCGTGGCGCGTCGTCCCCTCCTGTTTCACGCTCGAGCCAGCCCCAGCGCCTCAGCGCCCTCGCAGCCCAGACCACGCGGGAGTTGGGCGCTTGTGCCTGAAGGGGAGTGGGGCCAATTCCTAGAAATGGGTCCGCCCCTTTGCTCACTTTGCTGTGAAGGAGCGGACTCCTGGAGGCTCTCCCGCGCCTCCCACATCACAGAGCCTGTAAGTGGTGTTAGGGTAGGTGGCCTAAATATCCAGGGAGACGCAGCTCTGGGTTCAAGCAAAGGTTTATTGACAGAGAC